AAGTATAGTAGTATAACATATAAAACCGAGTTGATCAACTTTGTTTATAGTGTGTATGATAAAGATTTTTATTGAAAAACAGCAAACTAGTTTCTTTTTTTTTGTTTTTCGAGGGGTTGTGCCTGTGATTGTATTCTGTTTATGTATAAACGATGCAGTTGATATTGTATACTTAAAAGACCGAAGACAAATACATGTACATGTATACGGAAACTTATGACTGCCTCTTGATGTTGTGTTATGAGTGAGCAGTAGCCCCCGAATTTTACGCCCATGGCCTCATTACTGATGTCTCCATATCCCCCTTCTTCAAAATATTTCTGACTCTCAAAATAATATATATATCACACTGTAAGTGTATATGATATATGTTGCAATAACGCCTGCGTTAGCTTCCTATTATACTGTATTAATTTCGGTACTAAAACATTGGTTATGAAAGCTAATAAGTCATCCAAACATATCAGAAAAATTAGTGTCTTTTATTGGAGAAAGTTGTCATAAATAAATTGCCAAACTTTGAAGCAAGTACATTTGGTAATAGATTCTTTTTATATTGTGTCCTTGGAGACGTTCACGTATAAATGTGTAAATAAAGATTGCTATACTTATCAAATTGTGATTATTGACAGCAAGATAGTTCAGGATTAATATTATTTAAACCATATCGCAAATAAAAAATTGCAACTTTTTATCAATATTGAAGTGAAGTATGACTGATAATTATCAACTAAACATCAATGACATTAAAACTACAGTCATTTTTAATTCATAACTAACTCGTTATAACGAGTTAATTATCTCGTTATAACGAGTTAATTATCTCGTTATTACGAGTTAATTAACTCGTTATAACGAGATAATTAACTCGTTATAACGAGATAATTAATTCGTTATAACGAGATAACTAACTCGTTATAACAAGATAACTAATTCGTTATAACGAGATAACTAAGTCGTTATAACGAGATAATTAACTCGTTATAACGAGATAATTAACTCGTTATAACGAGATAACTAACTCGTTATAACGAGATAATTAACTCGTTATAATGAGATAATTAATTCGTTATAACGAGATAATTATCTCGTTATAACGAGATAACTAAATCGTTATAACGAGATAACTAAATCGTTATAACGAGATAACTAAATCGTTATAACGAGTTAATTAAATCGTTATAACGAGATATTAACTCGTTATAACGAGATAACTAACTCGTTATAACGAGATAAGTAATTCGTTATAACGAGATACTAACTCGTTATAACGAGATAATTAACTCGTTATAACGAGTTAAATATTTTTTTATCTTTTCAGAAATGAGCCTATCCGGCTTTCGTAAGATTCCTTTAGTATAGACAATTTTATTTAATTCAGTATAACAGATTCAAAATGCTGTACTCATTTCTTAGGTACAAAAGATGGTCGTTGTATATCGAATGCTGTACCTTAATACAGTGTCTGTTGTTGCTTTCATAAAGATCGACAAGAAACTTGAGTAATGTGCACATGCGTATGCATATGTATACTCAGGTTTATTTTTATCATGATTATAACACCGGAACTACCCATTTTAACCTTAGAATCTATATCAGCTAATGTAATTATGCCACGTACAACATATCGCGATTACTTTCTGTTTGAATTATAAGGAAATAACTTTCTGTTGGTTTTCTAATTCTTAGAATGAAACTCTACTTTTCATTTGGCTACTTTATAAAAGGACGTTAGATTGTTTGATATATCCATTCTTGCTTGAGGTTCGAATAGAAAGCTTTGTTTGGGCTGACACAAGCTCAACTTGTGTAAGTATTTTCTTTATTTTTTCTCCCATTCTGTCAGTGATTGTCTAACTCAATTTGTAATTTATTTACCCCGCTTGAAAGGGGAAGGGTATATAGTGATCAGGGTGTCTGTCTGTCTGTTACGCTTTAGGGTACCTTTCTCATCCGCAAGTCCTCCTATACCACTGAAAGAAATTTAAAATGAAACTATGCGTCTATTTTAAGTTTTAGAGTTGAAATTGATCTTTAAGATTCTTCTCTGCTCCTGTGTATTAAACAAACAAACTGAATGTACACAGTTATAGTGAGCAAGGGTGTCCCTTCCAAAATTGTGAATTCCATGGCCCCAAGGTCAGGGGTTCTGGTGGTAGGGATAAGATTCTATTGATTATAAATTGAAAATGCATTAACTCTTTGAAAATCTTCTCCTTTGCGTCTGGGTATCAAACAAACTAACAACATACATACATATAGTTATGATGAGCAAGGGTGCCCCTCCCAAAATTGTGAATTTAATGGCCCGAGGATCAGGAGTTCTGTTGATAGGGCGGGGTTCTATTGATTATATATGTATGGTGAAAATGCGTAATTCTTTGAGAATCTTCTACAGACCATCCTGGGTTTTTATCATACTAACTTCATACATACTTATGCTGAGCAAGGGTCCTTCCAGAATAGTGAATTTCGAGGCTCCTTGGTCAGAGGTATCGTAGGGGGGTTGGGGCTCTAATGATTATTTTAAAAGTACTGAAAATGAATAAATGCTTTGAAATTTACTTCTTAATTGATCAAACATTTATTTTTTATGATGAGCAAGGGTGCCTTTTCCAAAATCGTGAAATGTGTGGTCGCAAGGTCAGGGGTTCCAGTGAGTTGGGGACACCCTTTTGATTATTGCTGACACATTTTTCAGATTAATTGAAATGATTTTTTTGTTCCCCTTGCCAACGCTGCCTACTAGTATGGATATTATGTAACCAAACTAAGCATTCTAATTATGATGAACAATGGTGCCTCTTTCAAAATTGGGAATGTCATGGCCTCTGGTTTAAAACATGATAAATCATGATGAGAGTATGAGTTATGAATGTATCTTGATATTGAGAGTATATGTTAGTTATGCTAATAAATTTACAAAACTATATGGGCATATTTACAAATGAAAGCATTATGGCAACGAACTCAAAGTACAGTTTATATAAAGTAAGAAACTTAGTGAAAAAAAATGTCAGTTAATGACTATGGTAATATGTTTAAGGAATCACTGTCTAGATCCCCGCATGCTCTCCTTTTTAGCTCACCTGAGCCAAAGGCCCAAGTGAGCTTTTCTGATCAAAATTTGTCCGTTGTCTGTCGTTGTCGTTGGCGTTGGCGTCGTTGTCGTCGTTGGCGTTGTCGTTGTTGTAAACTTTTCACATTTTCATCTTCTTCTCAAGAACCACTGGGCCAATTTCAACCAAACTTGCTACAAAGTATCCTTGGGCAAAGGGGATTCAAGTTTGTTCAAATGAAGGGCCACGCCCTCTTCCAAGGGGAGATAATTATGAATTAGAAAAAAATTCATGGCATTTTTAAAAATCTTCTTCTCAAGTACCACTGGGCTAGGAAAGATGAAACTCATGTGGAATCATCCTCAGATAGTGTAGATTCAAGTTTGTTCAAATCATGACCCCCAGGGATAGGGTGGGGCCAAAATGGCCGATCAAAGTTTTACATATGAATATATAGGAAAAATCTTTAAAAATCTTCTTCTCAAGAACCACTGGACCAGGAAAGATGAAACTCATGTGGAATCATCTTCAGGTAGTGTAGATTCAAGTTTGTTCAAATCATGACCCCCTGGGGTAGGGTGGGGCCAAAATGGCTGATCAAAGTTTAACATAGGAATATGCAGGAAAAATCATTAAAAAATCTTCTTCTCAAGAACCACTGGACTAGGAAAGACGAAACTCATTCTGATTCTTCCTCAGGTAGTGTAGATTCAATTTTGTTCAAATAAAATGGCCAATCAAAGTTTTACATAGGAATATATAGGAAAAATCTTCTTCTCAAGAACCATTGAGACAGGAAAGATAAAACTCATGTGGAATCATCCCCAGGTAGTGTAGATTCAACTTTGTTCAAATCATGACCCCTTGGGATAGGCTGGGGCCAAAGTGGCCGATAAAAGTTTTACATAGGAATATCTAAGTAACCTTTTAAAATCTTGTTTTCAAGTACTTTAAAGCCATGCTTAGTGATATTTATAGGGATTCATCCTCAGGTAGTGTAGATTCAATTTTGTTCAAATCATGACCCCCTGGGGGGTTAAAATTCAAGCCCCCCCCCCTCAGCAAAACTTTCAGTTCTGATCTGATGTGTAATTTTTCCTAGCCAATTGCTCAGGTGAGCGATGTGGCCCCTGGGCCTCTTGTTTCCTTAAGCGGGGGACACAGATTCTCTGAATTAGCGTGTTTTTTCGTTATTGTGTAATATTTTATCTTTTTTCTGCCTAGATGTGAGGCATAGATTAAGAACATTTGTCTTTTTACATACACGATCTAAAGAAAGTGAATATAGCTATTAAACGTCATTTTATTGTTCTTCCTTGTGTCTCTTTAGATTTTTTTTCATTTTTTTTAAAATAACAAACACTCATCTCTCTTAGCTAAAACACAATTATTGACTTTCTTTTAAACGCTTTTCAATCGTTGGATTGAATATATTATTGATTTACACTTAAGCCTTTTCTGGTGGGACGAATACAGTTTTAATTTTTATCATATCGCAGCAGATATCCATTAAAAAACTTTTTTAATGTGCTAAAGAAGTTCAATCCACAATTTTTCCTCATTTTCGAAAAGAAATAAAATGGGAAAGTAATTCAAAATATTTATAAAATTTGTGATATTTCATTTCTCAGTTTATTTTTGCTACTGACGAGGTTTTAACTGTGTTTTGTTGAATAAGGAAGGGAGGACAGGTAATGAAACAGATTATGTCTGTACATAAAAAGATCAGGGTTGAGCAATGTTAGTTGTGAAATATCGGAGGAAACTTATGCACATATAGGTCAACATATCCAAAAAACATTGCAAAATTTATCAAGTCAGTATAGAATTTAAATATTATAAATCTAATCTAATAAGTTAACTAATAAGTTAATAAACCTACAAGAGATTTTTTTTTTTCAATATTTTAGCAATTGGTGTTTCTTTTGATGTAAACACTCATCTAAGATGGCTGACGACGTGAACTCGGATTCTGATGATGAAATTGAGTACTCGGGGATGATACAGCCCCCACTCATTAAGCAGCTAAGGACCATTCTGAGTGAATACCCAGACGATGGACAAATACTTAAGGCATATTTACCATTATCAGTCCATATGCCTCATAAAGTCTAAAAAAAATAATTCAGAAACAAAATAACTGTCTCTCCTTCTTCCGTGGGGCAACTTGAGTATCATATTATGAACTGAATTGTTTTTTTAATATTATTTTAAGCCAAAAAGACTACAAATTTTCATGTTCTCGTTCTTGTTTAAATTTATAATATGAAAATTGTAACTCTTTTTAATCGAAAACAACCGTAATTTAGAATGGGCATCCACAGTTAAAACATTTTTATCCAACAACATTCAAGTCATGGGCGTGTATCTATGCAAACAACCACATAAATTATGTGAATTGCTTTTTAAACTAATTATTTGTACAAACAGGAAATCATTCAAAATGCAGAGGATGCCGGGGCTACAGAAATGAAGATTTTGTATGATGGCAGGCGAACGGTTCAGCATGAATCAACAAAGAAAGCGCCATTCAGAAAATACTTCAAAGTAGTTGTTTATGATTAAGTTATCACAACTATCATAAAGAAACCTCATAGTAACGGAATTCAAACCCACATTTTAAATAATCAAACCTTAACTTACGCTTAAGAATTTTTTCGAATTTTGCTCAAAATATTTTATTATTCTTGTTGAAGGGCCCAGCACTGCTAGTTTACAACAATGCCGTGTTTTCAGAAGAGGATTGGAGAGGAATAAAAATGTTGTATAGCAGCATCAAGGAATTTGACAGGACAAAAGTTGGAAGATTTGGACTTGGGTTCAAGTCAGTTTTTCACATAACAGGTAAAAGTTCAAAAGGCAGTATTTAAGTACATACTGAAATATACAAAATAAGACATTAAATGCATACACAAAACTCATCTTTATGTTTCTAAAATAGCATATTTTTTGATAATAATAATTTTAATTATGTTAATTATTAGTATATGTATTATTAGTATATGTGTTTTCCATTTAGTTTAACCTAAGCAAATTTAAAGAAACATACGTTTTTCAGTACACAACATCATTCATTTCAAAAGCAGTCATATGTTGTTAAGCATATTTGAAAATATAATTCCTAAAAATAATAATTCAAAGTTAAATGCACATTGTAAAATACTTTAAATGCTTATGTGCAAAGTAAACAATTTATAATTATTTACACAATTATAAGTGTCATGGATATGGTACATTTATCAGATCATCCATTGATCATCAGCGGGAAGCAGCTTCTGGTGATAGATCCTCATCAAGATTCCTCAAAGGTGTGCCAGACGATGCAGCTCCGCAAACTTCACAAGTACAAGAAGATGAAAGTGGAGGACTGCTTAGAGGCATTCAAAGGGGTTTTGGGGTTTGAGGAAACAACACTTGACAGTGGTCATTTTGAGGGAACAATATTCAGATTTCCTTTAAGGGAAGAGGAGACTGAGTTGTCAGACAACAAATATAACAAATCAAAAGTGAGAGATCTTTTCGAGTCTTTTAAGGACGAAGCTCCAGTTTCACTCCTCTTTTTGAAATGTCTAGAAAGTATTACATTATTGTGGGAAGAAGAAGAAGAAGAATGTTTATACACTATAGACGTAGGAAAATTTCATTTCTCAGTGAACATTAACGAATTTTCGGCGGAAAATGTACGGTCCGCAAGAGAAGATATGAGGTCAAAAATTCAGGACCTGCAAAATACCTTGCCTTCAAAATCTTTCTTGAACAGCTATGATATGACAGTCTGTGTTACAGATGAAGAGCTTAACACTACAACAAAAACATGGAAAGTAATGAACCTGTTCAAGGGAAAGAGCCATATGACATCACACCTTCAAAAACTATCCTTTGATGAATCTCTCTCTTACAGTCCATATGTTGGGGTTGCTATGAACATGGATTTTCCTTTGAATTTCCAAGGTCACGTTTTTTGCTTTTTGCCACTCCCGTTGACGGAGAAAAGCTTGAGTGGTTTGCCAGTTCATGTAAATGGATTTTTTGCTCTAAGCCAAAATAGAAGGGTTGTAAAATGGCCTACGGCAGATCAGATTCGACACAACGCACATACAGATAAAGCCATCCAATGGAACCAAGCTCTTGTTACAGAAGTCTTGTCGGAGCTCTATTCTCTATTTATTCATGAGTTAGCTAAAGAAAGTCAAAGGCAAGAAAACCAGAAAAAGTTTGTGGCAGCCGTGTCCCAGTGCATTCCAGATGTAGACAACATTGACGAACACTGGAAAATTTTGATTTCTCCCATGATCACAAAACTGAAAGACATGCCATTGTATTTTACATTAAATGACGGTGGAAAGTGGATCAATAAGACTGAAGCTGTTTTCCTCAGAGCTAACAATTTTAGTCATGCAGGTATTTACAGAAATTATACAAAATTGAATTTAAACAAAAACATTGGTGACAAGACCACCCTTATTGTAAATCAAAACGCCTTCTGATTTGGTCTGCTATTTTCTAAATTTTATTGAAATCTTAGAATACCTTATATTTTTCCTCTTATGTATTTCTGAAACTTTCTATTAATATTTTTCCTCTTATTTATTTCTTAAACTTTGTATTAATAAGTGGAGGGAGTCGAAACAACAGTTCGAAAAATTCTTGAAAAATATCATCAAAATACCGTGGATGTGGAGGACCATGTGTGGAAGACATTGAAACTGGAGGGAAATTGTGAGGTCACACCTGACTTTCTAGATAAGTAAGTGTACAAACACATTCTGTTTGATTATCAGTTATTTGATTTCATATGTGAAAGCTGCGAAACCCATTTTGGGACATATATTCAGACATGGTGTTTCATTTTGCTTTAGACCTAAATGTCTACATATTGGTAACAGCAGTTGTACTTTTAGGATTTTGAGAAAGTCGGAGGAATATACAAGTTGCAGTAATCATGACAAACTGAATCTGCTTCGATTTTTGAGATTTTGTAATGTGAACAAACTGGAAGGCCTTTATCTTGTTCCACTGCAAAATGGAAGATACACCAAATTCAGTCGCGACAAGATCAACACTAACATAATACACATGGTGCCTCATGAGGTCATGGACATATTGGTTGGAATGGATGATGTATTGTTGCGTACTTTACCACCTGATCTCCAAGAAATGTTTTCTGGTCTTATCAAAAAAGGTAATGTAACACATATTGTCATTGCGTATCATGCTTAATACATGTATACTTTTTAGTAATTTTAAACAAAATAAAATTTTACAAAAAAATTTATTAAGCAGGATTCCATTGTTATTTTAATGATATCCATGTATATTTCCTCTTATCAACTTTTTTTCAGGCGTATACCAGATCCAGCGCATGCATGAAAGGAATTTCATTGATCTCCTTAAACAAACAATTCAAAAAAATATAGGTGACAGTCCATATCCAATCAAATGGACGATTTCAAAGTCAAATCTTAATTATGAATGGCTTGAAAATGTGTGGAACTACGTTGTCAGAGTATTCCCTAATAATCTTGGAATAGTGTCGCACCTCCCGCTAATTCCAGAAGAAATACAGGGCACTGAATATAGATTGCATTCACTGAGTGAACATTTGATACAAGGTCAGTTGTCTAAAAATATTACCATGTGTTTAGAATTGCTATCAATCAAAGTTTTGGATTCATTGCCCGAGTTTGTTCTTCAGCATCCGCAATTATACAAATTCCTACCTGGTTCCTCTATAGCAATTCTTATCAATGCTATTGATACTGTTGGCCGCATGTATAATTGGACAGAAAAGGTTGAGCAGTTCAACGAAAACACTACAGAAGATCAGAAAAAAGAATTCTTACGATATTTTAGCACAGGATACCAACCCCTGAGCGAATGTGCAAAACGAGTATTTCAGAACGTAAAACTTTTTAAAACTGAGAAGGGCTATGTAAGCATTGTTCAAAATCAAAGAATCCTTTCACAAAATTTACCTGTGCGCTATCCTTCAGATGTCATTCTCACAAGTGATGCAGAAATCATTTCCTTTGCAAAGGAACTTGGGGCAAGAGAGCTAGGAGACTTACAAGTTTATAAAGAAATCTTGCAGTGTGTTCTGGACAATATATTTTATAGTCCTGAAGAACAACTTCAAGTAATGAAATTTGTCATAGAAAAAAAGGTTTACAACAGAAATGAAGAGCTCATGCATCTTATAAGAAGCGTGCCGTTTGTTCAGACCAACACACACGTGTACAAAAAAGCCTCTGAGTTATACGATCCAGATGATGAAATAGTATGTATGATAATTGTAGACCAGTCAATGTTTCCAGCCAAAAGTATTCAGGCTAAAGGTCTGAAAGTTCTCCGAAAACTTGGACTTAAGTCTAGGGAAATGTTAACAGCAACAGATATTTATCATGCTGCTTTCGAAATCCATAGGAGCAGCATTGAAAATCGCGTAACTTCTACTGAAAGAGAAAGACAATCAGCACTTATGGAAGTGTTAATCAGTAGACGACAATTGTTTCAGAAGATTGTGCAAGACACAGGAAAAACTCTCAGAGAGTTCCTGATGCATTTAGAAATAATACGACCACACAAAAGCTCAGGTTCTTGGATACCAAATTTGTCTTTGTTCGAATCGAATCATTTTTACAGCAAACCATCTGATGTATATCATAGTGAGTACAAGGCACTTGTCGGATCTGTCGCCCCAATTATTTCCTCTGATACATCTTCGATACTTGTTGAGGAATTTGGATGGCATAGAACACCAGATTTAGAACTTGTTTTGAAACAACATTCCAAATATGTAGAAAATTACGATGAGGACTACAAATCAGAATATCTCCTCCCAGTGAAGCTTCTTTATAAACACCTAGCTGAACTCCATTCATTAAAAAGGAACATCATCATACCACTTGAAAATATGTGGATGGGTGACGGATTTACTCCACCTGATCAAATATACATCAACAAAAGTCCCAGTGACATTGATCTTCACCCATATCTTGTGTCTTTACCAAAGGAGTTTCAAACACAAGAAATAAAACAGTTAGCAAGGCATCTTGGCTGCATGTCCCAGCAATCAACGGAAACACTCATCAACATTTTGAATTCATTGAAAAACAAACATGAAAAGGGACAACTCAGGATGGACTGTGTTGACCGAGATCTTGACATCGTTGTAAGGATATTGAATAAACTGAAGTACGTCTCAGAAATCAGAAGCATGAATGTTCCAGTCCCAATTCACTCCAGCTCCAAAACAAAATTAGAATTTAAACTTTCCAGAGATTGTAATTATTGCAATGCAGAATGGTTGAAAGATTTAGCTGAGGAGGAAGGGGAATCAATGTATTTTGTTCACGAGGATGTGACATCTGACACGGCAGCAAAATTAGGTGTTCCATCTCTCACAGAAAATTTGCTTTCAGAGACTGAAGGTATCCAAGAGTGGGGGCAATCCGAACCATTAACAAGGCGGATAAAGAATCTTCTAAAAGATTACAAGGATGGATTTGCAGTTCCAAAAGAAATAGTACAAAATGCAGATGATGCTAAAGCCAAGAAAGTGTGCTTTCTGTATGATGAAAGAGAAAATATGGACTGTAGAACAAGGCTAATTGACGAAAATATGGAATCGTGCCAAGGACCAGCCCTATGGGCTTTTAATGATGCTTTATTTTCTCAAAAGGATTTAGAAAATATCACAAAACTGAGTGGGGCGACCAAAGCAGACGATTTAACTAAAGTTGGTAAATTTGGATTGGGATTTTGCTCAGTATACAATCTAACAGACGTCCCTTGTTTCATTACCGGATCAAATTTGGTTATTTTTGATCCACATGCAAAATACCTTGGTAAAGCTGTGAAAAAAAGTAACCCTGGACTTAAAATAGACCTAAGAGCAACAAAAAACAAGATTTTGCTAAGAAGGATGAAAAACCAATTTCTGCCGTTTCATAAAATCTTTGGTTGCAATCTAGAAACTGAAACCCCGTGGTTTGAAGGAACCCTCTTCCGATTTCCACTGCGAACAAAAGAACAGGCCTTTCAAAGTGAAATCAGTGAAAAAATATATGATCAACATGAAATGGAAAGTATGATACGATTGTTTACGGAAAACGCAGGAAACTTGCTTCTTTTCACGCAACATGTAAAAGAAATTGAATTCTATCATCTTTCCAGGAAAGGCAGTGCAAATGAAATGGTTCTTCTACATCGAGTATGCCGAGAAGATACTATGCACAATTCTGATATATTGTCTTCTTTTGGATCAAGTATGAAAGAATGTCAAAAGGATTTTCGCAAAAGCCCTCAACAAGTTCTTCAAACAGCATTAGTGAATATAACAACTGAAGTTAATGATTATTGCAAGCAGATTTTCAAGTCAAACATAGAAGGATCTGTAACAAAATGGTTCATATCATGGGCATCAGGTACGTCTGCAAGCTTAAAAATAGGGAAAGATTCTGTAGTCCAAGGTGCTCTGCCACTTGCAAGCATAGCAGTTTATGTTGAGGAGGAAGATGGCTTTTTAAAACATAAAACCTTACAAACAATACCAAATGGATTTTACAAAGAAAGTCATATTTTTTGTTATCTACCTTTACCGGTTACCTCACCTCTTCCAGTACATATCAATGGATCATTTGCTGTATCTTCAAATCGAAGACAACTTTCTTCAAAAACAACCGACGACAAAAACGATTTTGGGCATGAGTGGAATCAAGCATTGTTGTCTGACGCAGTAGTTCAAGCATATATCCATTTAATTGAAACAATGGAAGCAAATAACATAATGTGTGAAAAGTACCAGGATTTGTGGCCAACAGTCTCAAAAAATACTGAAAATACTGAATTTGATATCTTCTTTAGAACATTTTATGAAACAGTTCTTCAGCGAGACTGCAAAGTTTTTTGTAGAGATCGAATGTGGTTACCTTTGAGTAAAGCAATATTCTTGGACCCAGTACTGCAAACGTCAAAAATAGGGAAAATAGCCACAGATGCAACAAACCATTACAAGAGAAATGAACAGGTTTACCTGATTCCACTGGAAAAACAGATTTCAATGAGTTTTGAGACATTATTTGGGAGATTACCTGAGAAGATACAGTCGAAAATTATCTCTTTAGAAAGTTTTTATTTGGAGATATTTTTGAAAAATATCAGTGATAAATATTGGTCATGTGAAATGATTACAAATCTTGTCTTATTTGCATTAGACGAGGCAAACAAATCGGTGAAGTCAAAGATTGAAACAATCAGATGTATTCCTACAACCCCCAACAGTACACTGAAGAAGCCATGTGAGTTGGTGAAGCGAGAAGGGCGAGCAGCGTCCTTGTTTTACGAGGAAGACGAATGTTTTGTTGCAAGAGAGTTTGAATCATATTCTCGTCAAGTAGTATTGAAGTCAATGGGAATGATGATAGATGAGATCAATGAAGACATCTTGATTGAACGAATTTCTTCAGTTCAAAGTACTGCTGAGAAATGTGCAAAATGTAGCATTCAAAGATGTAATAACATTTTAAAATATCTTCAAGATAGCAAATTTTTATCGAAAAATTTAGCCTATCAGGTAAAAAACATGGCATTTCTACCAACTTTACCAAAGCCAACAAACTGGACATTGTCTTGGTTCTTAGATGACAGTAACTGCGAAAGATTTACATCAAGGTGTTCTCTGCACTTTGAAGAAAACTTCACATGTGCCCTGGCTAAACCATCGGATCTTTATTCAGACTCTTGCAAAAATTTGGTCGGGTGTCGAGAACTCATTATAGATATGTCAGTGTTGCAGGTATCAATGTATCCAAAAAATGTGCTTCTGGAAATTGGTGTAAATTTCAAAAAGGAAGTACAGACAGCCAAAGTAGTTGATCAGCTTACCGATATATGTCAAACAATTGACCCCGCTTCATTTTCGGACGTCTCCAAAATGTTGTTGAGAAATATTTGTGCTGATATATATGAATACCTAGACAGTGTTTGCCGAAATGAATCTTCGTCAGAAATTGAAATGTTGCGAGAAGAACCCTGTCTTCTCATTGATGATAGATTTGTAAAGCCAAAACAAACTGCACTCTCTATTCCAGTCAATTGCTCTCCAGAATTATACGGCTTAGATCGCATCACATGGAAAAGCAACACTATATTTTTGCAAAGAATTGGTGTTAAACAGGAATTTCAAGAAGAAGATGTAATTCCAGTCCTTGAAAATATGGCTAAGAAACACAAAGGTAAATTAGATGAACAATCTTTAGATCTTGCGTGTAATCTTGTCGAATTACTAGCGAAAGTGTACAAAAGAACTAAGTATCCTGAGGAATTTCTTGATATTTGTATTCCTGATGAAAATGGAATCTTTTCTCCGATTCGTCATTTGTGTTTGGATGACAGTACAATGTTACAAAAGGGAGAGTCTTTAAAATACCCACATCCAAAGATTAGAGAGGCAGATGCTAGAATCCTAGGTGTGCAGTCAAAGATCAGTGGTTCACTTATGCAAAATTATGTAAAACAATTGAAGCCGTTCGGACAAAGAGAGGAGCTTTCAGATCGAATCAAGAGAATACTTCAGGAGTATCCTTTCAGTGAAGGGGTTTTAAAAGAAATGTTGCAAAATGCTGATGATGCCAAGGCCACAGAAGTAATGTTCATAACAGATTTTAATACATATAAGGCGGAACAAATATTTAGTTCTTCCTGGCATCCTCTTCACGGACCTGCTCTTTTAGTCTACAACAATAGTCACTTTACCGAAAATGACATTTTAGGAATTCAACATTTAGGAAAAGGTTCAAAAGGGGATGATCCTACAAAAACTGGACAATATGGAGTTGGTTTCAATGCTGTATATCACATAACAGATGTTCCATCATTCCTTTCTAAATCGCCACAAGGTGACAAAGATACATTGTGTGTTATGGATCCGCATTGTAAGTATGCACCGGGTGCAAATGAATATTCTCCCGGGGCACAATTTACGCAGCTAAGTGATTTAAGAATTCCATTCGCAGATGTATTCAAATGTTATCATGAGGATATTCTACTACAATCATCAGGCACAGTATTTCGATTGCCTCTTCGCACTTCTCAATTTGCAAGGGAGTCTGAACTTTCAAATAAAGAAGTTTCACAACAAATTATCTTGAATATGTTGAAGACATTTGAATCGGAGATGACAAAATCTTTATTATTTTTGCGAAATGTGACAAAAATATCAATAGCAAGCATCGAAAATGGAAAATTAGTTGTGAAAAATACAACTGAATTATTGCTTTCAGATGAAGACAAATTCAAAAAATCAGAATTTGACAAATATGTCGTGAACATGTCTTCTATGTTTCGGCAGAGAGGAGAAATTGTCATGATGAAGGAAAATGATGTAACTTATTTTGTGAAAATCAAAAGTACGTCTGAAAAAGAAAGCAAATGGTGTATCATTCAAAAGTTTGGATTCAGTGAAGGAATTCATATTCCAAACTCAGTTCAAGATGCTTTCGATGATGAGAACTTGGGCCTTCTGCCTCAGGGAGGCATTGCAATGCCTTTGGATAGATCTCTATCAAATGCAACTGCATTTTGTTTCTTGCCTCTACCTTGTCAAACAGGTTTGACTTTGCACATCAATGGTCATTTTTCCCTGGACAATGAATCTAGAAGAGATCTGTGGAAAGATGATAAAAGAGAATACAGAACAGAGTGGAACTACATGTTACTATCTCATGTTATCGCTCCAATCTACGCTAAAGCATTGAATTTGTTGCAGAGTATTCTGGGGTTATCTTCCTCAGAAGAATGCGAAAGCAGAAATCTTCAGAGAAAGCTTGATGTCTTTCATAGTTTCTTTCCAAACCTTGAATTAGCCAGTAACCATTATTGGAAACGTCTTGGGAAAGCAGTTTATGAATGTATTGCAGAGGGAAAAATGAACTTGTTTTTTTCACGCCGTTTAATCAAGCAAAACGTTTCCAGAGTCTTTGGCTATTCCCTGTATGAAGAAAACGGAAAAGTTCTTTTCAACAAAGATTACAGAGACGATGAAAAGATAATTGAAATTGCAAAGGACTTAAACATTAAACTTGTAGATACACCAATAATGATCTGCACATGCATTGAAGATGCCGGTATATCAATTGACAAGTTAAATCCAGAAAATGTTATTGATTTTCTGAAGTCCGAAAACTGTGAAATTAGAAAAATTATCGGAAGTGATGGATTTTTAGAATTGGCAAAATCACCTTTCAAAACAACCGAACGTTTACATGCATGTTTAGAGTTTTGCATGAAAACTGAAAACTTCAACGTTGAAGTAGAAGGCCTTCCAATCTGTTTGTTGGAAACGAGAAATCTTGTAGAATTTCGAAGCAATAATCCGGTCTTAATTACGCCTTTTTCAGACTTGATACCAAGTTCGGCTGAAAAGAAACTTCATAAATTATTGCATGAACTACTCTCGAAAGTGGAAATTAATTGTATTGAACGGATGACTGTTCAAAAGTTTGAAGAACACCTGAACTTTGAATTGGATTATGACAGATATCGTCATAAGGTTTGTCAATGGAACCCTAATCAGTCAAACATTCCAAACAAAGAGTGGATGAAGAAACTTTGGAAATTCATTAAGAGAGAGTTGGGTGAGACACGAAATCAAGTAGAAATAAAACGCCTGATTCATCCAATTCTTCCATGGTGCCTTATTCCTACCACACAAGTGAGTGGGAAACGATTCATGGGACTTTTAGACGATGTTAAACATTCACTCATTCCAGTTGAATTCGCCTGGCATATCATCAATTTGTCATCTTTTCAACCTGCCATGGAAATATCTCTAGGGAAACTAAATTTACCTCTTTTAAATGAAGATTGCCTGCCGCCATCTCATCCACTGCCCCATCTCGTTGCTTCGCAAGATCGTATAACGGATGTTTTAGAATGTCTGTATGCCCATAGACAATTAATTTGTGAAAATGAACAAATAAAAGTTGATGATTGTAGCAGAATTTTAGAGTACTTTGCAGGGGGACTAACAGAATTACTGAGCTCTGAAAATGCAGGAGTTTTACTTGACAAGTTAAGAAAACTCCCATTATTCACGACTGTGCATGGACAAAAAATTAGTCTTGAAGAAAATCGTGATATATTAGTTCTTCCTGGTGGACTTCCAGCAAATGGAATGAACATGTGGGCTGAAAAGACAAGAAAAATTTTGCTATGCAGAAATGAAAGACTGCAATGCATTTTTGAGCGTTTCAACGTTACAGAGCATAGCATAAGTGAAGTATATAGGGTACACATTCTTCCATCCTTTTTCAATATACCCCAAGAGCATAGATTGGTTCATCTTGAATATATCAAAGATCATTTGTTAAAACATTCAACTAGCTATAGTGAGGAACAAAAAAGACTTGTTAAGGCACTAAAGGAAATACCATTTATACCCCATGTTGATGGAACTCAAAAAGTAGCTTCAGATTTCTTTAGTCCTTTCAATGACGTCATGAAGAAAATGTGCCCGGATCCAAAATGTTACCCGCCTCATCCATTTTCAACTCTTCCTTGGAAAAAGTTTATGACTTTAGTTGGCATGAAAACCGAAATTACGGAAGACTTGTTTTTAGAGTTTGCGTTGCAGATAGAAACACAAGGACGCCATGGATTGTCTGAAAATATTGAAAACAAGTCGAGATGCCTTGTTCATCACCTATTATATGCAACTCAGCTTCACTCCTCAGGTTTTCTGAAACGAGTAAGTCGAATCAAATTTGTTCCTCCGCATCCTATAAATTCAACATATTGTCAGATATATCCTTGTCCACGAGATGAATCAAATCATCTGATACAATTCAAGGGATCTGTGATAAACAAATATGAACCAATCATTTGGACACAATGTCGTGTTTTGCCTTTTTGGATTAGCAGTGTAAAAAGTGCTGGAGGACTTGAATTGTGTGAACTTGGAGTTCAGAAACCAACAGCAGAGACAGTTCTCACTCACATTCAATCCGTGTGCAACAAAATTGGAAGTATGTCGGAAAAGGATCTGAATTCTCTAAATATCTCTAAAATTTCAAGTCTGATGAAGACATTTTATGAATATGCAAATGATTCAAAAGTCTTACAAAAGATGGACATTCCAACTTTCAAGAGAATTCCATTTGTCTTCATGTCAGATCTCCCATGCTTATTACCTTGCGAAAGATTCATTCTTCAGCTGGAGGAAAAATACAAAATGATACCATATTTGTTGACTTTACCAGATGAATATTTTGCTTTCTTTCCCATTTTTGAAAAACTTGGAGCTTCCAGAAAAATTTCGGCAAAAACATTTGCGAAGGTTTTAGAGCAAATTCATTCCAGTGATGATACACTAAATGTCAATGAACTGAAAACTGCACAAAAAGCCATGGCATTTCTATTCGAATTTCTCTCATCCGATGATGATGTTTCACAAGCGTTGGACAACCAGGTACTTTACCTCTTGACTAAAGAAGGCAAGTTATTAACAGCTGAATCATTAATGCACATAGATTTTCCCTTCATGGGTAAAGTTATAAAAGCGGAAGAACACTTTAATATACTATCATCTGTAGAGGGAATGGATGTAGAAAGCTTTCGAACAAAAATAAAATGTCTGCCAAAGAGAATAAGACCAATGTTTATATCTGATGTTATAACATCTGAAGTTGATGTATCAAACGCCGATGTCAAAGACAACCAAGTATCAAGAGAAATAAATGACTTTCTAACAAGCAGTGAATTTATCAATGGAATCCTTAGATTGGTTTACCAAGAAAAGCTTGACAAAAGGGAAAAACTTCCATCAGATGCTGAGATTTCTCATCTAAAGGAAAATTTGCGTGGAATTTGTATGAAATGTGCAAGCAATCTACAGGAAAAGTTCACTTACCAAAACAAACATATTCAAAGCAGACCCCGTTCGTGTTGTGTTAAGTACCTTGAAGAAAATGGTCATTTGAAATGTACAATTTATATCAATTTTTCTGATGAAAATGACCCAGAGAAGGTTGTAAAAAAATGTCTTGATGTCATTTCTACTGCCATTAGAAAAAGCACTGGTTGTAATTTCGAGAAAGCACTGTCAGATTACCTCCATATGATATGCAACAAAGTAAGAAGTCGTGATGAAATCGAATCCTTATTGGATGAACGTTATGTTCAGTCTCTAAACAGAAAACACAAAGATTTCTCCCATCAGCTGCCCAATCCTGGTGATGTTGTAGAAATCCGATGGCATGGCATTTTAGACAACGCCTTCATTTCCTTTGAGCCTAATGAATATGTTGCACATCTTACTGGAACGAATAGCAAGGGAGATATGGAATACAAATACGCAATAGTGAAAGAAAAGCTTTCAACATCTGTCAATACAAATGATAAAATATTTCTGCAAGCATACCTTGTTCAAATTGGGCCACAAAAAGTCATAGAAATGAAAGCCTATGAACTATACAAATTTAATCGATCCAAGGTACCGGACGATAGTAACACTTTCGAAGCTTTTCAGATTCAAGTGTTATATCAAAGGGAACCATCAGAAGAAACAAGTTCCAAGAACAATTTACCATCTAGAGATAATAGAACACTGGAGGAAATATTCAAAGAAATCAGAGAATGTTTGAAACATGCATTCACATTGCCAAAAGAACAAAGAGGGAATATATGTCGCAGAGTAATGTTCCAATGGCATCCAGATAAAAATCCAGATGATGTTGAAAGAGCAACTAAAGTATTTCAGTATATAAGAAATATCATTCAAAAACTTGAAAATGGAGAAAATGTTGAAGAAACAGATAAAACAGAACAAACAAATAAACCTCATCCTTGGAGTGATGAATTTTTTAGAGAATTTGAAACCTTTTTCCGAAGAGAACAAGAGTACCAACATCACTTCCATCATTTTCATCGACCTTCGACGTCATCGAGAAGACCACATCAACGGCCTGAGGAAACCTACTGTCCAAACCCACAACCATTTGAAGCATCCAAATGGCTTGAAGAATCAAAGTATGACCTGCGCTTTGCGAGAAATATCGCATGCTCAGGGGAAGATTTCTTCAACTGGATTTGTCTTTCCAGTCATCAAGTATGTAATTAATACTTTTAGCGCTAAATAATTTAATTCAAATCTGATATATAATAAATTTATCCCTATACTCAAAATAAATTTGTCTGAACCTTGTCTTTAAAAGAATTATTTTATATGGAAGTACAAAAACATCTATGATTATGTCATTTGAATTAAACTATTAGTTGTTTTCTGTACACCAAAAAAGTTATAGTGATTTTTTTTTCCATGCACTTGTTTCTTATTCTGTACATGAATTGGATGCAATATCCAGTGAAATAAATTTCAAACTTACATAAATAAAACGAAAGTTTAGGGTCATCTGAGTTACTCGTGGCCTACTTCTGCCTGTTTTCGTCCATCGTCGTCCATATGTTATCAGTTTCTTCTTTGGACCTTATGAACTTACTTCAATCGATTTTGGCACACAAGTATTTTCATGGGGTCAAATTTTCGAGGTTTGGAGAAAGATTTTAGTTTATTGGGCATTGATTTCGTGATTGGGGAATATTTACGTAGTATAGTAGTATAGTAATGCATATGAAATTTGAAATTTCGTGGTAGTCATAAATCGTCAATTTCTCCATGCCTCAAAAACAACGAAATTTAAACCCCCACAAAAATTACTGGTTTCAAAGTAAAACATTTACGAGTATACGGGAACAAAAATTATTAAACTCATGGACCCTGCCCCACCCCCAACCCACCCCCGGGACCTGAGGGGCGAGACTTTCAGAACCATCAAAATTAGTTTAATCTTTAAGTCTTCATCTGGACCAGACAAACTGTTGGCTAGATTGTAATAAGTAGTAAACTCTCTACCAAAATTGTGAAATTTATAGCTCCAGGGTCAGGTGTTGTAGAAAAAATTATAAATGAAGAGTAGGTAAACTTTAACTGAATCATGAAAAAAGAAAACGGAAACACTCAAATTTATTTTTAATAAAATTCTGGATTGGATGTCAAATCACTTAGAAGAAAATTATATGCCCTAAACTTCCAAAGACATTAGCATAAACTTCCCCTTATCTCAGCATTCGGGTCCGAAGGTGGTTCAGGCTTGGTCATGTATTAAAAAAGCCGTTTGAAAACATTATTTTTTACTAATGGAATTTCATCTGTAAACTTTTTGTATTATTTAAAACAACACCAAATTGTTACATTATACATTACCCTTGATTACATTTATTTAAACTTAAGGGTGCTTATTTGGTCATATAATATGAAAAATACATTACAACTTCGAAATCTTTCTAAAGAGCACAAATTCTTTTATCAGTCAAACTGTATTCAAAATTATGAGTATATAACCTTTTACCAATTTAAAGATTATAAATTTGATTCCTCTTGTTCAAGCCTCAATGTGTAGCCAAGCATAGTGAAAATTTCAATTAGGCCTTAAAAGTGATCATTTAGACCAAAATTGTGCATCAAAACTTTAAAAGTTAAATGTAAAACATAAAGTCTGCTGCATCTGTAAATGCCTGGTCATCAGTCTGGTCATGTCTTTTACATATTTTTTAAATTTCTTCATTTGAAGGCTGCAGAAAAAGCATTGATAGCCTGGCAGTACAGCGAGGATGCCAACCGTGTTGTGCGTTATGAAAATTTATCAGATCTTGCTCGAACATGCCCTGTAGATATCCAACGTTCAGCACAAGACTTACAAAACTTAACACAAGAAACTAAAAGAATGAGGTATCCAGACGGGAATCATAAACCTTCCACGGCATACAACACTGTCCAAGCAAATCGAGCATTGGAGCTGGCTGAATTTATAGTAGAAAAGGTTGATGACCTCTTAATGTGAAATATAAACTGAAGAAAGTGATCGTTTTTTTAGTTTTGTTTTATTTTGTAAAGAATATTTTTCTCTATGCAACAAATGTATGTGTAACAGTTCCAATTTCATTTAGAGTTTTTTTAAATGTATTTCAACTTTGCTTTATCACTTTTAAAATTGACAATTCACAGTTGTAAGTATATTTGTAGATAAAAATATATGTATTTGTAGTTGATTTTTAAAAAGTTTTTTTTTTTTGCATGAATGTATGTGTCCTTAAAATGATTCAAATATCTCTATATTATTGTTTGAGTTTATATAATGCACCCCTATATGAAATGTGACAAATGGCTTCTTTACTTCTAATCAGAAAAACGGATTTTGTTCTCATTTTAATGCAGTATAATCTATTCTTATGTATTACTTAGGATTTTTCTGCATTGCTTAAGGATGTACAACACACCTACCCCAAAAAATTCCTGTCGTTTAATTTTCGTTATTTTTGTATATTTAGTACATGACTATATCTACTGCAGGTATGCACATTTTGGACAAAATCGTTCGAGTGGTTTTTGGACAGGAACTTCCAAAAGTTACCCCCCTTAAGTTGTTTACAAAGAGAGAAAATTTTAATCAATGAACTACTTAAACCTTTATTTTCAAAAAAGCCAGGTTAGATATAAATGTCAAATTTCATTGGCTTATTCCTTTAACCATTTAACACAAAAACATAGTCATCTTTTTGATATAAATATCATCAAAATAATTTTTAAAGACCTTAAACTGAAAAACTGTGAATTATCTAAGCCTTGAAAATTGCGTATTTTTCAAATTCAAAATTTTTTTGTGAAAAAACCTGTCCTTTAATTTTGGTAAAAAACTTTCTTTAGGTAGCTGGTGGTAAAAATAATCTTCATAATTTTTTGTATAATTTTTGAACGACCAGTTTTGATTTAATAGCGGAAAATTACCCCTCCCCCTTTCGCAATAAATCACATTCCCGCGCGTCTTTCAGACCGGGGTCGATCACTTTGTTACATGAATCTACAAATACACATTAAAAAAATTAAATTGGAATACTGCTTTTGCTTCAAAAATATATTAACTTACAAATTTAAAAGTTCTCATATGTAAAGCTTATTTAAATGTAGATTTTAGGCAATTTTTGAGTACCCCTATCACCCCCACCCCTTCCTTTTTTGCGTCGCAGACCATTAGCGTTTGACGACACGTCGTTTACAGTGCAAATATACTGGTATTTCGTCATTTGAATCCCGGAGGTATGCATTAGTTTTTAAATTCATGAATGCAGAATAAATAAATACTGACTACTCTTTTCATATGTATCAGGAAAAAATTACTGAAGGATTTTAGTGTTTAGTCCATATATGTATGCGTTATGCATTTCATATCACATGAAACCTGGATACGAATTCAAGTTTTGTTGAACTTGAATATGTCGATTTTTAATTTTATTTCTTTAATTTTATTCATTAAAAAAATGGTGTATAGTCAAATCTCCTGTGATGTAAATGGAATAATTGTAGTTTCTTTCATGTCATTATTTCAAACGAGACAGTATGTGGCCGTGGGGATACATTAGTGATGGAACGATTGTCGCCGACAATCGATTGTCGGTCGTTAGAAGCTCTTCGATGCTACTAATCGATTATGAAATAAATGTCGCCGACATCGCTAACAAAAAATAAAAGTGTCATACTTTAATTTTATTACCAAATCCAAGTGCAAAGAGCATAAAAGTAGTGATGAATGTTGAAAACATGGAAGGATTCCGTGTCTTGTTGATACTTTTACCGCCATGATTAAATATGGGGTCAGACTAAAACCAGGAAACGGTGATATTGCAAGGTTTTACAATACAAAGGAAAATATAATTAGTCTAGTCAATCTTTAAACGTAATTATAATCAGAAATACAAGTCTTACTTCTGGATAACTACTTTTAAAACTTGCAATTTTAACTAATTAAAGCTAATTTTAAGAAATAAATACATGTATTAAGAAAGGCGGGACTAATATCAGTAAAATACCCATTGCATGGACTTTATGAGAAAATTAATTCCCATTCTGTTTTTAATAGTCCTATATTGTTTAAAGTGAACAAAATATTATTTTCCACTTTTTAAAAGAGAAATTTCAATTCATATTTTTGAATATTTTATGTAAATAAAAGATTTTTTTGTAAAAGTCTGACAGAAATCTGAATAAGTTTTAAATTTTCTATATAAATTTCATTAAAGTTCTAAATTTCGGTTATAATCGATTATTAATCGATTATGCCCAGCCGATTATTACCGATAATCGATTCTGATTTTTTTCCGATTCCCCATCACTAGGATACATCGACATTTGCATAGATGTACACCCCTCATGATATCGTACGCATTTCTTTCAATGTCGTCGCTTCTAAAGTTAAAATAAAAATTCCGTATTCGTCCACATTAACTTCAAAATATCAAACATTAATTAAACTCTTCATCTAATTCAATTTATATCAAATCTCACTTTGATATTTTTCAAAATCTTATAGGCTACGTTTTGTTTTGATTCGAGGAAATGCGAACCGACATTGTTGACAGAAAGTCAAACGATTTGCTGCAATAGGATATTCATAAATGCAGATAATTTCAGTACAAATGAACGATTCTTTTCAATTCTATACTTACATTGTGCATATGAGGTCTATAGTATTCAATTCTCGGATTTATCAGGTCTTGCTGTAAATGTATCTGATTCTGTGGAAAACCGTGAATAAAGGGAGGAAAATAAACATCTCCTACATTTTCAGAGTTGTTCCTCTTTGATCAGTAAGGGTCTGAGAACAACATCGATTTTACGTTGTAAAAAGTTTTTTGTTTATTTATTGTTGTCTTATTTAATCAAAGAAGAAAAACAATATTTATATCGTAAATGCACAAATTATAATGAAGACCATTAATCGGAATGTTATATAGCCAATTGTACATAATGAGAATTTCGGCAATGTAAAATAAAATTTTCAGAATAAAAAAAAATGCTGCGCTTTGATCAAAAATACAATTTATTGTATATGAAATGAAATGAAATAAACATTAAGGGATGGTATTTTATTCTTGCTTTTTACGGAGTTTAATCGGGTTAATCAAAAAATACTTATTGATTGAGTATGGTACGCACAATCACAGCCAAGCCCCATATCCCAATTTTCTTTCATGATTGATATACATCGGGATCGTTTTACTCGTCGTTTTGACGCTTTATTTTTGACGTTAAATTTAACGTCACGTCAAACGTTCAATTGAAATCGCAAGAGTTATCTCCCCCAGTGTGTTGTACGTCTTTAAGTATCTTGAGACATCCTCATGACAATTACTTTATTTTATATTCTTATGTCGAAGTGAGTCAAAAGTCATTTCCTATATAAATTCTAATTAAGATTTATTATGAATTCTGAATTGGAGTTTTTTTGACAGCTTTGTTGTATTTGTGAGTCCTTTGTTAATTTTTTATTATCTCTGAAATAATTAGAGACCTAAAGTTAAATAGTATATAGGCCCCTGAATTAATTTAGGAATTGTTTGAAGATGGCTGATTTTTCTTGTATAATGTGTTTATTAATTCATTATAAGTATATTAATATTTTGAAAATTCCTTGGTAGAATGGCATCTTTTTGAGATACATTAATAATTATTTAATACCATTGATGACTGGGCCATCTAAATTTGTATTATAGTAACATTCGTCAGGGACCTAAATACTAAGTGAACTTAGCTAGTGTAAAAGTCCGCAGTCATTATTGAAAAATGCTGTGCACATTTATGCTAGCTAAGTTGATATGTTTAATGTTCATTTGATTTTAAATGGGATTAAATATTCAAACTTGGCATGTAGTATAGATCAATAAAATATTTCTATTGCATCACTTGATACTTTTGTCCCTGTCAGTCCATATGCTTCATTTATAAGCAATTGAGTAATATCGCTACTTCTGCAAATTTTCTTTCAAAAATTAAAAGATTCATGGGAAGGTAGTATCTAGTCCATAATTTACATAATGCATGTACATGTAAAAAAGGAAAAAAAATTCTTCATCATTCCAAGGCTAGGTCAGTCATACTGATCGAGTATCCTCATGGTGTGTGGTAAATATATAGAAAAGTTGATGGCTCATTGTTATACTCCCTCTCAGTTAATGGATCATTTTGTATATATCTATTGAAATTAGACCAAAACCACAGGCACCTGACGGTACTTATTTTTCTTCTAAAAACAAGATGTGTTTGTGAAACATTGATGCCCCCGTATGGCAACATACTGAAGATTAAACTTTTCTTAAATGCAAATTTAATATCTTGGTACCCAAAGTAGGGTCTCCTAACTGGAAATACAATTGTGAGATATGAAAGCTCTATCCTATCACCATCTGTTCCCAAGTTATAACCAGGTTAAAGTTTTTTTCATACGTACAGAACTCTTCAAGATCAAGGTCATTATGGTAGGTCAAGGTTATCGGTATCCAATGAAAGGTCTAGTCACAAAGAATACATTTGTGAAGTATGGAAGCCCTAGCCCTTACCGTTCAAAAGTTAATGTTTTCCATAAGTCTGGAAATCTCTAGGGTCAGGGTCAAAAGGTTAAAGTTATTGGTATCCAATAAAAGGATACATATGTGATGTTTGAAAGCCATAGCCCTTGAAAAGTTATTGCCAAGGTTAATGTTTCTTCATAAATCAGGAAATCGCTAAGGTAAAGTCAAAAGGTCAAGGTTATTGGTATCAAAAATAATAGGTCTTGCCACAATTATTACATATATTAAGTATGGGAACCCTAGCCCTTTTTGTTCAAATGTTATTGCCAAAATTAATGTTTTGCCATAAGTCCGGAAATCTCTAAGGTCAAGGTCAAAAGGTTAAGGTAATTGGTATCCACTATACGGTTTTGCCACAAAGAATGCATACATGTATGTGACGTATAGAAGCCCTAGTCTTAACTTTTCAAAAGTTATGGCCAAGGTTAAAAATTTTTAAAAGTAGGTCAAACTCCAAGGTCAAAAGGTCAAAGGTTTTGATATCAAATGAAAAGTCTTGTCACAAAAATTAAATAAATAAAGTTTGAAAGCACTAGCTCTAACCATATGAAAGATATGGTCAATGTTTGTTTTTTAAAAGTAGGTCAAACTCCAATGAAGGGTCTTCTTACAAGGAATAAATATGTGAAGTATTAAAGCTCTAGTCATTACCGTTCAAAAGGTATTGCCAAGGTTAATGTTTTTTCATAGATACGTAAATCTCCGAGGCCAAGGTCAAAAGGTCAAGGTCGTGGTATACAATGAAAGGACTTACCACAAAGAATGCACATGTGAAGCATAAGTGTCATGGCATCTCATGTTCAAAAGATATGGCCAAAGTAAAAGTTTGGAATTTTTGTGTAAAAGTGGGTCAAACTCCAAAGTCAAGGTCAAAAGGTCAAATTTGGTGGTACTCAAAGAAAGGTCTTGTCACATGGAATACACATATTAAATATAAAAGTCATAGCTCCACTAAATCAAAAGTTATGGGCAAGGTTAAAGTTTTTGCGGACAAACAGAAAGACAGTTAGACAGAGAGACAAACAGACAAACAGACGGACGGACACGACAAAATCTATATACCCCCGGAACGTCGTTTACGGGGGCATAAATATATATGTATACTCCCTACCTAATAATAAACAAGATACACATCGGCGCCATCTTGAATTTTTCTGGGTCGGTGACATCAACTTTTAAATTTCATCTGAAACTCCGTGAAATAATTTCCCTGCAACTATATTCTTTCTGAGGTCAGTTTTTCGAGGTTTAAAGTTACGGACAGTGCAACCGGAAGGCTGCATCACACTTTCAAGTATTAAACATCTCTCGTCAAACTCGATCTACTGCTTCAACAATCCAAGAAATGGTTAAAGGGGGTGGCAACCTTCAGGCATGTTCATGAAGCTTTCTTAGGACTAAGGAGTGTCCTAAGAACGTCTTAGGAAATTCATCCCTTGGTGAAAATGAAAATTCCAAAAGTACATTGTACATTCCAGGACACCACCAATCATTTTCAAAAAAAAAAAAATTAGACTACTATGATTATTACAACGGCTATTTTGGGAACCAGGAGGTGTTTAAAATCATCCATTTGACCCCAATAGTGAAAATAACAAATCCGAATTTCAGGAAACCAGTGTGATTTTGCTACCCCTTTTTGACCCTGGGGTGAAAATGATAATTCCGAAACATGATTGCACATATACGAGACACCACCAATTCTTTCAAAAGCTGATCAATCTATACTGCGTAAAATATAAGAGGAGTTCTGGCAAGAAGGGTATATTTTGTTTAATTATTATTTTTTTACCATTACTAACGGCATTAGACCCTATGGATGAAATTGAGAATTACAGAACGGTTCAACCTTATAGCCTATCTACAAGGCATTATCAATCATCTTTTGAAAGTTGACTAGGGTACTATATAAAATGTAAGAGGAGTTCTGGAAACCAAGGTTTTTTCATAAAAACATGATTTTTCGACCTTAAAGTTAAAAAAAACCCGAAAACTGATGGTTAATGTACAGGAGACCACCCATCATCTTCCTAAAGATGAAAACCGCCGAAACATGGCTAAAATATTGCCGACTTTGCGTTGATCAATTGTAAATTAATCAAACCGAAAGAATGAATTGTGCAAATTATCGATGTACTAGTATTCTGGGAACTAGAGTGTTTTTGTATTTAAAGATATCATTTTTGAACCCCATTAGATCCCCAGGAAGAAACTGAAAAAATTAACATCTTATTGCACATGTGCAGAATGTCAACAAGCCTCTTCCAACTTGATTGTGTAAAGTGCAGAGGAGTTTGGGGAATCAGGGTACTTTTGTATAATTAACACCATGACACTCAGGGTGAAAAAAATTCTGCCTATTGCATATATTCAAGACACTTACAGGGTAACGACAATATACTCGAACTTTGCTCAAAGAGTGAGGGTATAATCATCTCAAATTAAAATGATTCCATTTTGATTTGACAAATATATAATTCTTTTTTTGTAAAGTCCCTTACATATATCAAAGAGAGAGAGGGGTAAGAGAGAGTTGATTATAATGCTATATATACCGCAGATAATCAAGTTGCCTTTGAGTTCATGTGTTCTTTGTTAAGGATTTTAAATACTAGATATATATATATATAGATTTGATCAAAAGTATCTTACAATTTGAATAGGAATAGTGTGATGATACTTTTTGTACATTTTCTTTAAAAGCAAAGGATTAAGAGTTAACTAAACATGCTAAAGGCACAAAAAGTGGAGATGCAAGTTGGCTTTTAATTAAAACTTCCATAAAACCCATTGAAACCCTAAAGTAATGAAGTTGAAAAACAACAACAACAACAAAAACATTCAGTAAAAAAAACAAGAAAAAAATCAAAATCTCATCTTAAAAAACAAGGTGTGCATTATAAAGCATCAAACTTAGCAACAAAAATTAAATTAGGTCTTTTCCCTGTACATGCCAAAATCTACCAGCTTGATTCTAGATATCATTCCAGATCGATTGGAAAAATTAACAAAATCAAATGATAATTGCAATGTTTTACTAGGGTTTGCTAACTAGTGAGATAGTCGCTTGGCGAATTGTATAAAAACAATACAGATATTAAACTTTTACTTTGACACAGATTTTATATAATGTTTAGTCCTAAACCTAAAAATTTCTTTGAAAATATTTATTTTCTGAACTCAAACACATTAACAATGTTCAATATCATTTTTTATTATATGATTGAAAAATTTCCATCTCTCTGATTGGCTGAGATCCAACTATGTTAGAAAAATATTACGTTGTATTGACCTGCATGTGACGTTCCAGGTCAATACAAGGATTTATTTCCTCTACATTGATCTAAGAATAGATTCGGAAATTCCAAATTGATACAAATTGTTTTAAAAAGCTATTTAAACGACTATGATTTTTATTTTCATGTGAACAAAACATAAACGAATATATATTTTAGGGTGAGGGTGGTAAGAGGGGATGCAGGGACCCCCCGCCCCCTCCAACACTTTTACTGAACAACAATTTTTTTTTTTTACTTTTTGGCAGTCAGTTTTCCCTGATAATACCCCTTCCTTTCAAAATCTATCCTATAAAAAAGACTGACATTATATATTTCTTTCATGGCAATTAAAATTAATTTATAAAAACATTTCAAATTGATACGACTGGTAAGGTTTGTTAACATTTTAATTTTGCTACTCTCTTGTATTTGGCTAGGACTTAATAAAATGCAAACAAGTAATGAGCTGTATCATTTTATCAGTGAATCATATAATAAAACAATTATTGCTGTTTTTTCGGTCAATACAATGATTTATCCATCTTCGAAGTACAATATTCACCTCGCCCTTCGGGCTCGGTGAATATTGTACTCCTCAGATGGCTAAATCATTGTATTGACCTCAGAAAACAGCAATAATTGTATATTATTTTATGATTGAATAATTTGAATCTCTCTGATTGGCTGAGATCCAACTATGTTAGAAAAATACTACGTTGTATTGACCTGCACGTGACGTTCCAGGTCAATACAAGGATTTATTTCCTTTACGTTGATCTAAAAATAGATCAGGATATTCCAAATTGATACAAATTGATTTGGAAAGCTATTTAAACTACTATAACTTTTTTTTCATCTGAAGAAAACATAAACGAATATATATTTTCGGGTGAGGTTGGTAAGAGAGGATGCAGGGACACTCCTCCAATACTTTTACTGAACAACAATTTTTAGTTTATGGCAGTCAGTTTTCCCTGATAATGCTCCTTACTTCAAAAATCTATCCTAGAAAAAAGACTGACATAATTTTGTTTTCATGGCAACTAAAATTGATTAAAAAAAAACTTCAAAAAAAAAATAAATAAATAAATATTCCCTGTAAGGTTGATTAACATTTTAATTCTGCTTCTCTCTGGTATTTTGGAAAGGACTTAATTAAATGCAAACAAGTAATGGGTTTTATCATTTTATTAGTGAATCATATAATAAAACATTTATTGCTGTTTTTTTCGGTCAACACAATGATTTAGCCATCTTCGAAGTACAATATTCACCTCGCCCTCCGGGCTCGGTGAATATTGTACTCCTCAGATGGCTAAATCATTGTATTGACCTCAAAACACAGCAATAATTGTATAGTGTATCGAATCATGTTGGAAACAAGTGAATATACATGTAGTATGGCTGCCCCCCTTTCAAAAACGATATTACATCACTTAAACCAACCAAAATTTAGCTAAGATTGTCTAGAAGTCCCTGTGAGTAAAAAGTGAGAGAATTAGTTAACCTTGCCATCAATCACCACTTTTAAACTTTGGATCCCTCTGTTGGAATTAAAAGAGTCGTTTTTCAAAGGGGGTAAATTTCTTAATTATAGATAGATAGATATTCGTAAATATTGAATAGACCTTTTAAAATTAAAATTGTCAATTGTATCTAGAGATAACATCTGAAGACATAACAAAGCCTGACGTATCCATATAATGATAATAATCACATAATATTGTCACGCTAGAGTAGATAACTATGTATGCGCTGAATTGCATATTTAGTTTCGATTTAGATTCGTAGTATTGATTTCAAAGCCAAATACAAGGACACTTTCAGAAAATCACATTGTTCAAAGTACAGAAAGAGAATACAGGTAGCCAGAGAAAGGTAAGGTCATTTTTTCAGTGCAGGCGAAGTCGAAGCATGATTTCAATGAGGGAGGGTGAGATGAACATGATCAAGAGCTTAAAAGAAAGAAGCCTAGACATTCTATTGTGTTTATCATTCTTTGAATTTGTTACAAATATAATGTTTTAAGAAATCAAATATAGCTGTTTTTTTTAAATTGCATCAACGTCCATAGTGAGACCCAGAAGTTTTAAACATCCGGGGACGACCTTGAATCAGAGGTGGGGGTCTAGCTAGCTGGTAGATTTCGGAAATAATCTGTCCTGAAAAAAGTAAAAAATAATCTATCGTTGACCAGCAAGGAAATAAATAATATTTCCTTAATAAAATTAACTATAGCGCTACTAAATCCCAACGAAACAGAATTTGGGCGTTTTTCCTTTTTTGTGGCTTGTCAAACGTCAAATATATTTCAACGAAGAAGAAAATAAATAATAATCATCCTGAAATTCTGTTTTAAGTGTCAGGGGTATGATTTTTATATATATATATATATATATATATATAAAAGGCTAGTTTAGCTTAAATTATGAATTTTTCAGTTGTAATACGTTGTGAATATGTCATTGTCTTAGAATTCTGTTTTTTTTTAAGTCGAGGAACCTTTGGGTTACGGAACGGGGGGGGGGGGGGGGGTCTCGTCTCTGGCAAAGCACTTGTGTCCTTGGCAAGCGTAACAATAACCTTACCCGAAAGGTATTGCCAGGCCCCCAGCTCAGAATCAAATGGTCGTCCCCTAACTGTGTCTGAGGGCTGTCTGAGAATGAGTCTATGACAAACATGTTTTATCTATATCACGTCCTATACCTATACATGCTATATTTGTTATCAAAGTTACTCTTTGTTCGGACTTAATTACTGTTCGTAAAATAAGTTATCTTTAAAACTGGAACTCCCGATTTTAAAAATAGATTTATTTTTTGGAACAGCTATACATGTAATTTCTGAAATGATTTCTTTTCACATTCTAAAATTCTACTTTCATTTTCAGCCTCGTTATAAAAGGCGGTAAAATACTTGATGTGATGACATTGCATGGATGAGATTAGAAGAGAAGGCTTCACTTAGGTTGAAACTATCATTGAGTAAGTAAGTAATGTATTAATGATGATGATATGAATTATATTTACACCTTACACCCAGTGTACACTTTTCCACAATCAAGTGGAAAAGTGTACATTTTAGGTTTTTGAGTTTACTTTCAAGTATTAATTAGTATTTGATAGATTGATTGTGAGAGATGGATTTAATAATTTATTGGATTGTGTTTTGTGATTTTTATGGAAAAGGAAAACTTAAATATTTTGTTAAGCCGCAATTAAGTTTGGGGGATGATATCACCCAGGTAGCATCGTTTTTGAAAGGGGGGGGGCAGCCAGAGAATTTTTTTTACTTACCTTAAAAAGTTGACAAGCAACCAAAAAACAGGGAGAAAAGAAAAGTTGCCCAAAGTCGGTGTTGGGGGGGGGGGGGGGAGGTAAACTTTTTTCAATGCCGACTTCTTTTAGTTCAAATTTTTTATACTACATTTTTCTTTCATCACAAAAAGTTGGAAGGGGGGCAACCAGCCTTTCAATAAACATTTCCTATAGTATAAGTAATGTTGGGAAAAAATTAAAGGTGGGGGACAGCCCCCCAACCCCCACCCCCCTGTTGCTACATGCCTGGATAAAGTTACTAAATATTTTAGACTACCCTGGTATATTAAAATGGATAGGATATTTAGTTATAGGGGTGTGCCTGGGTAGCTACGATTATGTTTTATAAAAAATTGCTTTCAATAAAAATGGTTTGTTTTTAAATGGTTTCAAAAAAATTGTTCACATTTTTTTTTAATCTGCATATATAGGCGTTACAAGAGTATGATAAGAATAAAACGTGTTAGTGTGTAGCATTAATTCATGACTAAGCCAATATTTTAATGCCCAGTGATTCTGCTTAAATTTAAATACACGTACCAATTTATGTACACATAGAGTATCTCAAATCTGTCTTTAAAACTATAATAAATACAGGAAAAAATTTCTGGGCTCCTACAAATATTTTTAGCTCACCTGTTATCTGACTTCAGTCTCTCTGTAAACTTTTCACTTTTTTTAGCTGAAAAGTGAGTTTTTCTGCTAAAAAAAAATGCCCATTGCCTATCGTTGTTGTCATCACTATAAACTTTTCTCCATATCCATATAAGTACAAAACATTAAATATATCCAAATGAGAGTACTGTAGATTCCTTATTTTTCGTGAGTACTTGTTATCACGACTTGGCTCTTCAACGTCAAATTGCGAGAATAATATGTATAATACGCGCATGGACAGCTAGTCTTGAGATTTTACATAAATTTCAGCACCATAAAAAATAAATCCGAGTAATTTTATTTCGCCTGTGATGCCTCTTGAGAAATTAAGCGATAATTAATTCCATGCTTATATTATATATATTACACACGTATAGGAATCTACAGTAATTAAGTGTATAAAATTTGTTATGGAATCGTGCTTCGATAAAATTAATGTTTGAAGTATAAATTTGATGCAATAATAATTTAATTATCTTTTAGTTTATACACTTGTACCTACTCAGTGTTTTCCCTTTATTTCAAAGTAAAGGGTTAGAGATCAGTTGTAACAGGCTAGGGGCTGAGGTTTATGAACAGAATCTCTGTGGACCTTGAAACAAATTTTTATTTCAAAGTGGCATTTTTGTCAATTGAAGCAGTCAATTTTGCCGGTAGTCGGTTCTTAGGGAAACACTGCAACTTATTGAAATGTGTTTTCTCATCCCCTGTAAATATGATCAAAGTCTGTATGAAATTTTTTCTATTTTTACTTTACATGTAGTTGTTCAGCTATTTTTATTGTAACAGAATCACTGATCTAAGATGGCTGACGACGTGGACTCGGATTCTGATGATGAAATTGAGTACTCGGGGATGATACAGCCCCCGCTCATTAAGCAGCTGAAGACCATTCTCAGTGAATACCCAGACGATGGACAAATACTTAAGGTATTCTTATAAGCATCGATACAGTTCAAGAATTCCTATAATGTCAAGCTCATGACTGTTCTAATTAGATTAATACCCCTTATGCCTTTGTCACATTTCCCATCCGGTGGCCATTGACTGGTGGTAATCGGTGGTAAATAATCTGTGGTGTGAGCAATGCCCCAACATCGGTCCACATTGGCCTAGTAGTCCTTAAAGTATCAGTCAAATTATCCAGCGATGAGGTATATGATGAGAAACTGATGCGTTTTTTGATAAAAATGGTGTGGTTGATGGCCGGACTTACAAAAGCCCAGCGATGGATTGTTAATCATAAAATGATGTTCCAGGGTAATCGGCTGATATTTATTACATCGCTCATACATTGGGAACATCGTTCGTACGTCGGTCGACTATGGGCCATATTCCATATATGACTATAAAGCACCTGACACATGGTTCGTTATTATCAGGTATTTGTTGTGATATTTTAGGAATCACTGTCTAGTTAGTATTGTATGCCAGGGCATCAACAATAGTGGGAAACATGGGATAATTTGCATAATAGGCAAAATGCATAAATTATCCCATGTTTCCCACTTTTATTGATGTCCCTGGCATAGTCTATACAAACTAGACAGTGATTCCTTATATTTCCATTTCATAGTGAAATAAAATTGTAGATTTAGACTTTAAAAATGTAGACAAAGATTTAAATTACATGAGGACCCTCATACCAATTTCAATAGTCCTCGCCCACTGACATCAAACACAGAGGCAGCCACACGAGATTTACATGCATATTTGGCCTCCTTAGCATCAGACACAGAGACAGATGCGCTCGAGATTTACATGCACATTAGGCCTCCTTAGCTCCTGACATATAAACCTGCCTAATTTACATACCAGTAGAATTATCAAGAAATCAACTTTGCTAACTTTCAAAAAGTTAAAAAGAGAAAAAAATTAGAAATGGAAATACATGTATTCTTATATATATTTTCTATCATACATGTAATGATTAAATAAAGAAATTAGGTTATCATCTACTTTCAATATATTTTCATTTCTGCTTGTTTTTATATGTGATAATTCTTTGAGAGTTAGTGGAGTTGATTTTTTTATTATTCTGCTGGAATGTAAATTAGGCAGATTGATAGGTCAGGAGCTAAAGAGGCCTAATATGCATGTAAATCTTGTGCGACTGTCTTTGTGTTTGATATCAATTGATGAGGACTATTGAAATTGCATGGAAATTGACATGGGAGGCCTACATTTTTAATATCTAATTTTACAATTTTATTTCACATTATGGAATGGAAATATAAGGAATCATTTTTTAGCTAGTAGAATATGCCAGGGACATCAAGAATAATTATTGAAAACATGGGAAATTTATGCATAACTGGCTTTGCTCATTATGCAAATTATCTACCTATTGTTGATACCCTGGCATACTCTACAAAATAGACAGTGATTCCTTAAATAGACATGATAGATAAGCATAATAGAGGCAGCTTTTTGGCAATGCATGATTATCATGCTAATGAGCAGCTTAAGCCTTCAAGAAAAAATGTCAGATTTATGTCCCCTAGAACCAGGGATCAGGCCCCAGGCTGGGTTTAGTTTGCCAAATATTAAACACATTGTTACCTGCATAGTTATTATAAATTTCTCTTAGCCTTAAGAGATCTTGCATGGACCAGTCCAAACTTATGTTATCAATTGTACAATGCATTGTTGTTTATAACTTTATATTTTAGAAAACACATATTAAAGATTTTTAACAGTTTATAAATTTTTGTTACCTGTTGTTTCAAGTCCATACAGGTTTTAGGTAAGGTGACTATGTGGTCATAGCCTGAGAAACAGGTGACTTTAGTTAAAAGCCCAAAAACATTTAAATATATAAATGCCATGTACACAAGTACAAAAGGAATATACAATGTGTTAGTTTATACTTAGAAATTTCTTAAATGGATTTCATAAATTCTACATATATGGTTGTTATTTATTATCAAATATATCATATCATTAGGTCATATTATCTCTGACTTGCATCAATTTGTATGAAAGTTGAATTTCTGCTATTCAAATATGACTTTTAAAATAATTATATTAAACCACCAGGAAATCAATGTTCAATTATCAAATACATATAATGGCATAAGCATTTGTGGCGGTCAGCCGGGTTCGATTCCCAGTGGCCAGATAGCTCAGTTTGTAGAGCACTTGACCTGACCAGAGTTTCAGGGGGCCCGGGTTTGAATCCCGGCAGGTCGATTACATTTGGTGACATGCCATGCCCTCAACAAAGAGGCCTGCCAATGAGCCATTCCAAAAAATACTTCAAATTTGTATATCAATTTTTATATTTTGGATAAGTACATGCTATGAAAAATCGAAGGAAATTGGGCAATTTAATACAATTAAACCACATACAGAGCAAAGAAAATTACACATCATGATCTAATGTTCAATTATCAAATACATGTAATGACATAAGCATTTGTGGTGGTCGGCTGGGTTCGATCCCCAGTGGCCAGATAGCTCAGTTTGTAGAGCACTTGACCTGACCAGAGTTTAAAATAATGAGGAAAAAGTTGGGTTGATGTTAATTTGGAAATGTTGTCAAAATGGTTTTCCTGGTGTAAATTTTATCCTTCTTTAATATATCTTCATTACATTTGGTGCTGTGCCATGCCCTCGAACTGACAGATTTTGTGAGGCTAAAGTTTCAAGATTAATAAAGAGGCCTGCCAGGGATTTTTAAGCAGTTTTTTCGAGGTTAAAAAATATACTGGAGGGCCAAAGGCCTTTAAGGAGGAAGGAATGTGGCGATCAATTGGGTTTGATTGCCATTTCAGGGAGTGAGGGTTCGAATCCCGATCTGGTCTGCTGCATTTTCTCCTCTCCCATTTCTCATTATACCTGAGATACTGAAACTTAAGTGTAAGCTAATTTTTAACAGTAATTATATACATGCAGGTACTTGGTATATTATATCTAAAATTTCTGTTTGATTCAGGGTCCAGCACTGCTAGTGTACAACAATGCTGTGTTTTCAGATGAGGACTGGACTGGAATAAAAATGTTGTATAGCAGCATCAAGGAATTTGACAGGACCAAAGTAGGAAGATTTGGTCTTGGATTCAAATCAGTTTTTCATATAACAGGTAATCTCATTTCAAGAAATCCATGGGACCAACACTTAAGTTATTTTCCTGGGTAATTAAGAAGTTCAAAATAAGTAAATTGGCTTAAATGAAGATTAATCTTAAACAAACTCGAACCAGTCAATGTGTATTCCAACCAGACACAAATTTTCTGAATTAGTTTGTTTATTAATGGTATTTAATCAAAATAATGAATATGCTTCAAGCAAAGAACATATGAGCTTCGAAATATAGTACACTTTTATTCTACAGTACAATGTGATTTCAAAATAATGCATTATTTAATTGCAGATTTCTTTGTTAATTTATAAATACTGTTAGCCAACAATTATACTCGTCATCTTTTATTCGCGATTTGTTTTTACAAAAATTTGAAATCAGTGCAGAATCTTGTTATGTAGTTTTGACAAAAACCAGCATTTTGGTTTCAAAAATAGACATTTCATTTAAACATTAGTAAGCTGCACCTAGAAACATACCCGCGCTTTAATTCAATATTGATGACAATTTGGCCATAAAATCTTTTTTGAATGAAAAGATCTGTTCAATTATAATTGATAAATAATTTTAATAACAGTGTAAAATAGTTAAATTATCCCAAAATTCTAGCTCTTTTTTTTAAGAAATTTGTGTTATCCAACTTTTCCCAAAATGACAATATTTTCCGTTGAAACCAGGCTTTACACCATCACAGTATTTAAAAATATTTTTGAATGTGATTATGTTTTAAGCATATGAAATTAAACATAATTCATTAATAAAATACTATGTTTTAGTTGTAAACCCCTTTGAAATTGGTGAAAAATCAAAACTTTTGTCATTTTTTGGTCAGTAAACATATGTTTTTACATAGGAATACATGGGGAATATTAATGACAATCTCCACAAAATCTTTTTTGAATGATCATTAATTGATAAATAATTTTAATAACATTAAAGTGAATCATAGCAATAAACAACAAAGCCATTAAGTGTCATATTAATTTAAAAGCATTTTTAGGGAGTGTATAGATTTAAGTTTGTTCAAATCCCCCCCCCCCCCTTGAAATCCATATTTTATAAAATACAGTTTTAGGAAACCCCTTTGAAATTGGTGAAAAATCAAAACTTTTGTCTTTTTTGGTTCCTAGTCAATTTTTTTCATAGAATATTTGAAGCGTCTCCACAAAGCCATGATTGATCACCAGTTAAAAAACACAATATAACATTTAAAACAAAGCCATTATGTGTCATATGTTGAAAAGCATTTTTAGGGAGTGTAGATTTAAGTTTGTTCAAATCCCTGGGGTCCTCCCTTGAACCCAGTGTAATATATTTAAACTTTTCAATATTGAACTGATTTTTGCTTTACCTAGCTAGTTGCTCAGATGAGCGATATGGCCCCTGTGCCTCTTTTTTATTATGCAGTTATAAAATTGAAAAATAATGCACTTTTAATGGATAATTTTTTTTCTTTAATATGTATGCAAAAAGTTTTTTAATGACTTAGATGCATTTTTAGTGTAAATTAACCATTGTCATGAATATGGTACATTTATCAGATCATCCATTGATCATCAGCGGGAAGCAGCTTCTGGTGATAGATCCTCATCAAGATTCAGCAAAGGTGTGCCAGACAATGCAGCTCCGCAAACTTCACAAGTACAAGAAAATGAAAGTAGAGGACTGCTTAGAGGCATTCAAAGGGGTTTTTGGATTTGGGGAAACAACACTTGACAGTGGTCATTTTGAGGGAACAATATTCAGGTTTCCTTTGCGACAAATTAAAACAAATCTTTCTGACAACCTCTATGACAAATTAAAGGTTAATGATTTATTCAGGTCTTTTGAAGATGAAGCTCCAGTTTCCTTACTTTTCCTCAAAAGCTTAGAAAGTATCACTTTACTTCAGGAAGAAGAATTGACTTTGAATAGTACAGCAAATATAGGGAAATTCAAATTTTCTGTGAAGATTCATGATTCCACTGTAGAAAATGTTCGGTCCAAAAGAGCTGAAATGAGAGAGAAGGTTCAAAACTTGGAGAAAAGCCTACCATCTGACTCCATTTTAAACACTTTAGACATAACAATTTGTGTAACAGGAGATGAACTTGATACAACGAAGAGATGGAAAGTAATGAATTTGTTTGAAGGAGAAGAAAACATGTCACCTGCCTTGAAATCTCTTTCCCGTG